ATGTTGGTGTGAATGGCTGATTCTGTGAGTGATTAACCCCTGACACATCCAGGACTTTAATCTGAAGTCGACTTCATTCACGACTTGATTCTCACCAGATTAAAACAGCAGAAGAAGAATGGACCCAGAATGCACTCTGTTTCTGAAACAAGTAGTTAAGAGTAGGTGTTAAAGTAACACACACACACATATATATACTGTATATATAGCTGTACAGTCTGAGTCTGATCACCAAGCTAACAGCTAATATGCTACATCAACAGTCACAGCCACCTGAGCTTTTTATGTCAATTATTTATGTAATGTGTGTGTGTGTGTGTGTGTGTGTATGCACGAGTGTGTGTCTTGAGAGCCACTTAGCATTTATATCTGGGCAACAAACTACATTTGTTTGCCTCCCAACGTTCCCAGAATGTTCTGGAAAACTTCCAGAACAGTGTTAGGGTCAACTTGTGCCTGATTATCTTTTTTTTTTTTTTTAGTTTGTTATTTTTTCTGTACTTTTAAGTTAATGTTTATTATTTTGTTCCAGCTAGCCGCTATTGCTAGGCTATATAACATTCAAATCTAAGATTTGTTAATTTCAATTCTTAGATATTTTCTTTTCTAACCTAAAGTATTTTTTTTGTCTATTGATGTTTTAACTTTTTTTTCTTCTACTTTTGACAAGATGTTCACTCTTTGTGTGCTAACGTTAGCATTTTCTGCTTTGCCTATGATTAACAGTAGGTTTTTTTTTAACATTTTTACGTTTCTGTCATTAACACTCTGTGTAGTGTTAATAGTGAATGTGTTAGCTATATTAGACATTTGGTGTTGCGATATTTAGCATTCCTTTGTTTTGGACAGATATTTCTTCATTTCTTGGTTGTGTTTTTAATATTCAACATTCTTTTCCTTAGCTTTAGCTTTTTCTGAGCTCTTAGAACCACAGTTAGTAACGTTTCTCCCGTTGACGTGTCACTGTGCTAACTGTAGGTTATGTTTGGAATCATCTGAATGTACCTTCCCACTGTCTTTCTGACTATTTATTGTTGGACTCGCTGTGTTTACAGGAGTATTTACATTTTGACTTTGTTTTGTTTCCCTTCGTTCCTCGGCTCAATTTTTAATGTATCCATCATTTACGCAAAAGATCTCAGGGGCTAAATGCAGCTACATTAGGAACAGATGCATCAGAGACAAATGAAGGAGGAGGAGGAGGAGGAGGAAGAGGAGGAGGAGGAGGAGGAACATGAAGGTGAAGTGAAGCTCAGCACAACAAACACAAGGAGACAAAGATTTGGAAGGAAATAAATCCATTTTTGGGAAGCCCAGCCCGTCAGCATTCCAGGACCATGATGATGATGAAGATGAAGATGATGAGTGCAGTGTTGGGTTGTTAATCTCAGCCAATCTCAGGTGGACTGATGACATCCTGGTGACGTTTTAACCGTTGAATTCATTTTCTCTAACAGAGTTGGAACAGCTCAGTGTCGCCATCATCCTCCATCCACGTTTTGTTCATTCGACATTCGTAACTTCTTGGAATGTGAAATTTTATGTTTTAAATTATTATACCTTAATGTGTTTTCAGCATGTCCACTGAAACATGGCAATAAAGACGCAGAGTGAAGAGGCAGAACGAAAGCTTCGCTCGTACAGAACTGGTTTTTCTGACAGTACTGAGACGCTGAGCTTTTGGTCCTGAAAAGAAAATTCCAAATGCAATGTTTTGATTTTTGTGAACAAAAATGAAAAAACAAACAAAACAAAAACAACCTTTGCCTTTGTACATTGACTCGCTGTATGTGTGCAACCAGAATATCATCATACGGTCAAAAATAAAAACATGGATGTGACAAAGTGTTGGATGTTGTTGTTTAAAAACTGAACAGATACAAAGTGTTGGATGTTGTTGTTTAAAACCTGAACAGATTCAACAATGACGTGTGTTTCTTCCCCTCAATTAAAAATATTTTAAATAAAAAAAAAAAGATAAAAGGAAAAACTTTGTTGTTTTGGTTTAGTTTCAGTGAAGTTGGACCAAAAAAAAAAAAAAAACACTAAACCAGACTGACACCATGTTAAATTAAACCTTTACTTTTTAAACCTGATCCTTATACCAGGTCTATTACGGCTGGGATTTGAACCAGCAGTCCTCCAAGTCCAGGCCTGATGAGTTCAACATTCACCCACAGACTTTGTTTTTCTGGAAAATGTTTTGGACCCACCGAACCTGAACGGAGCGGAGCTCTGAACCGACCGCTCATCAGTTGGTCTGGTCTCAGCTGGACCGCAGTCCCAGCTGGTTCACATTGAGCCTCATTTGTTCCTGGTTCCTCCGGGGATCAGAGAGAACAAACATCCGCGGAGAACAAACATCCGCTCGTGTTCTTTTTTAATCACAACAAGGAGAGAAGAAGAAGAAGAAGAAAAAAAGAACGATCTCTACGGCGGATTAACTCACGGTAACAAACATCGTCCTCGTGTCTGTAGAGTTTTTTAACAAGTTTGAACCGTCCAGGTTTAATGTCCTGACACTCGGTCAGTTCAGACTGAGACTGAGACTGACCTCTAGTGACAGTTGCCAAAACCAAACAAAGTAACGATATATGTATATATTAACTCTTTACGAACCCTTTAGGAGGCATCGTAGGGCGTGAGATATTGCAAAAAAACTTAACGAAACTTTCACAAATCTCGTTTCCTCGTACGTACAGGTTATTTCTAGCAATACTCTGTATGTATGTTACACAATGTCTTTTAATGTATTTTCTGACTGTTTTTTTTTCTTAGGCTAGAAAATTCTCGGAAATAATGAAAATATTGTCAATTTTAAAATGTTTATATACCGCAAAAAAAAAAAACGCGATTCATCGAGGGACGACTGTTTTGAAGGAAGCACCAAAAAAATGACCAGTGAGAAACATTTATTGAGTATAAGTGATAGGAGTTTAGTTGTCAAAGATACTGTATATTGTGAGTAGCCAGCCCTGCTGGCCAGCATTGGTAACTGCATCCGGGTCATCTGCATTTCCAGGTTTGCTTCAAACACGATTTGTCCATGTTTATGTTGTTCGTCTTCAGTCTTTGTTGTCGTTGCTCTCGACAGTCAAACGCTGCAGTCAGACACTAATGCGCCGTAAACACTCGCTTCCCATCGTAGTCCGTCTCCTCTTCCGGTGTCCCCGCTGGCTCGTCCCTCCACCTGAAGGGCTCCGACGCCACCCTGGTGCTGTTGTGGCAGCTCAGGTGAGGGTCGTGGAGGAGCCTGAACATGAGCCAGATCTGTGGGACGCTCAGGCTGTGGACCACCATCAGCTCTTTGTAGAAACACGGGTTAAAGGTCTGAAGGTGAGGAGCTGCAGACGGTCTGGGGATCCCGAAGGTCCGAAAGCCCTGGTGACGGGACGGTTTGACACCAATTACCTGGAGGCACATTCCCAAGAAGACGTCATCGATGGGAAACAGCTCCACCTAGTGGAAGCAAAAAAAAAAAAACAACAAAACAATGCAGTTGAAAGAATGAAGCGTAACAGGAGAGTTGGCATGAGTTTTGGAACCGTTGTAGACAAACGGGTATTGGTACCTCTTACTACCACTGGGGGTGCTAAAGATTTCATCTAAATCAAGGGTTATGTCAGTTATGTTTTTATATAGAATTGATTATTTGACTTCACAAAGTTATTCAGTTAGAATTACATGTATAAATCTTTTTACCACTATACACTCCTAGTGGCTCTTCAACCCAGTTCAAATTACCTGTTGACAAGCAGAACTCAACCTTTGTGCCGTGTGTCCTGACATGACGAAACCTCCTCCTCCGGCGTAGTTTGGGTATAAACTTCCTCCGTACACGAACTCCGGGACAAAATACTTAGAAGTGCGTCGGCGGATAGGCTGAGCGTGAACGATGATGTCACCGACAAACAGGTCTTTATCTGGCTTCTGACCTCGCAACATCTCCAAAATATTCTCCACATTCACGTAGACGTCAGCGTCGCCCTTGAAAACGAACCTGAGGGACGTCCCCTCTGCCGATGCCCCCGCTGGCGCGTCCCTCCCCCGGAAGGGCTCCGACGCCACCCTGGTGCTGTTGTGGCAGCTCAGGTGAGGGTCGTGGAGGAGCCTGAACATGAGCCAGATCTGTGGGACGCTCAGGCTGTGGACCACCATCAGCTCTTTGTAGAAACACGGGTTAAAGGTCTGAAGGTGAGGAGCTGCAGACGGTCTGGGGATCCCGAAGGTCCGAAAGCCCTGGTGACGGGACGGTTTGACACCAATTACCTGGAGGCACATTCCCAAGAAGACGTCATCGATGGGAAACAGCTCCACCTAGTGGAAGCAAAAACAAAACAAAACAATGCAGTTGAAAGAATGAAGCGTAACAGGAGAGTTGGCATGAGTTTTGGAACCGTTGTAGACAAACGGAAGCGTAACAGGAGAGTTGGCATGAGTGAACCGTTGTAGACAAACGGTATTGGTACCTCTTACTACCACTGGGGGTGCTAAAGATTTCATCTAAATCAAGGGTTATGTCAGTTATGTTTTTATATAGAATTGATTATTTGACTTCACAAAGTTATTCAGTTAGAATTACATGTATAAATCTTTTTACCACTATACACTCCTAGTGGCTCTTCAACCCAGTTCAAATTACCTGTTGACAAGCAGAACTCAACCTTTGTGCCGTGTGTCCTGACATGACGAAACCTCCTCCTCCGGCGTAGTTTGGGTATAAACTTCCTCCGTACACGAACTCCGGGACAAAATACTTAGAAGTGCGTCGGCGGATAGGCTGAGCGTGAACGATGATGTCACCGACAAACAGGTCTTTATCTGGCTTCTGACCTCGCAACATCTCCAAAATATTCTCCACATTCACGTAGACGTCAGCGTCGCCCTTGAAAACGAACCTGAGGGACACACACACACACACACACCTGTCACACACACACACACACAGTGGAAAAGTGTGTGTGTGTGTTTATTAAACTCACTTGACATCAGGGCAGCTGCTGTTAATCCAACCCAGAAAATGTGTTTCCTTCAGGGTCAGGTTGAAGAACGTGTCGTGGAAGTCCCACAGCAGGATGTCGTGGAAGGTTTGACTCTCGTAGGTCAGGAGTCGATCCCACAGAGGCAGCTCGCTGTAGTTCCGGGGAACGCCCAGCAGGAAAACCGTGCGAATGGATCTTCCATTATGGAACTGTCCCTCCTTACCCCACGTCCTTCGCACCACCTACGAGACCAGACGTTGGTCCAGAATAATGGTTAAATCATGATAACGTTTGGTTTCAGAGTGAATTTGAATGAATTTGAACATTTTGATGTTTATGTTGCTTATTTTTAGCAAACGTTTAGCTCTTTTGCTCATTCTCAGCTAGCTTTTGATGGCTCTTTTTTTTAGCTCACTATTAGCATAACATTTCTCACGTTTCACAAAGCTAAAATATTCTAGCTATCAGAGCGCACTCAAGTGGTTTTGTTGGTAATTACATCATCAGCACCAGTGAAATCCAGGTCTTACTGATGGATTTACCTGACGTTTGTCAAAATCCGCAGCAGTAGATTTTACTGCGATGAGCATGTAGGGGGCAGTGATGGACTCCTCTCCTCCTGCTTCTCTGATTCTACATTTCTCGGGCTGATCTATGAGCAGTTTGAAGTTCCTGTTGTCCTTGTCCCTCATGTAGCTCTCAAAGTCAAACGGAGGCATCGTGGCCGCAGGTTTAGCGGCAGATTTGGACGTCTGCGCGTTCTTCCGTCGTGACTTGGATTTTTCCTTGGATTTGACCTTTCCTTTAGACTTGACCTGTGAAGGTTTGGATTTTGACTCGGGTTGACAGAGAGGCAGGTGAGGTTCTGACGGTCTGGAAGGAGCCTTGGATGAAAAAAAAAAATCAATCAATAAAAAAATACCAATCAGACTACGAGGCTTTACAGGATTGATGAAATGTTTTTTTTTGTTTTTTAAAAGAAAAAAGAACTCTATACAACTTTCACTGGATGTGCTGTCGTTTATCAAAGATCCAACAAGTTTACGTCGAACCCCACAACGACCCCGACCCTCACCTTTGTCCCACTGGTTCCCAGCAGAGTGCGACTGGAGCTGGTGGAGCCGTAGATCTGTAGTTTCCAGACAGGTTTGTCCCAACTGGAGGAGAGAACAATCTGGAAACATGGATGTGATCAGATGAAGCTTTGAAAAGTCAAACAACGAAACAAAACAAAATGGCCGAAAACCACATTCTTAAACCGTCCCTGAGCTTCAGTTCTGTGCTAAGGACCGTTAGCATTCTGACCTGACGGGCGTAGAGCAGCAGACAGAAGAGGAAGAGCAGCAGCAGGGTGCACATCACATCCCCCTTCACGTGGAGAAACCTCCTCATCGTCACCATCTTCCTCAGCATCTTGGTAGTGCAGTGATTTCCTGGATCCAGCAGACGTTCACAGATCAGCTCTGAGTTCCCAGAATCCCTCACTGCCCTTCATCTTCTTTGTTTGACGCTGCAGCGTTGTTGTACGTCAACATCCCGATCTTTTTTTGTCAAAGTGACTTTGTCTTTTCCTATGTTTTCAACATAGGGCTGGAGGTTGTCCATGATGTCCACGATGTCCACCGTCTCTGGTCTACATCCTCCTCTTCTCCACAGACTCCTGCAGAAAGGTCAAAGGTACACGGTTTATCACGGTTTATCACGGTTTATCAGCAAACGTCCAGTGGAGGGAGCTGAAGCTGAAGATGGTGACGCACATGAACGCCACACGTGTCACAGGTCCATTTATTACAGTTGGTTATGACGCCACAACATAATGTTGTCTTTTTTTTAAGTCCATTTTAGCGAAAACAACAACAGAAATACGTAGTTAATCAAACAAACTCGTTCTCATCTGTTTGTCTTTGTCTTTGCTCCGTTTCTTTCCCACAGATGTTTCATCAGTAACTCAGCAGGACTGGGAGTGTCTCTGTCTTATGTAAGTCAACGTTACACTCTGCTGCACTTCTATTAATGTTAATAAATTAGAAATAAATAACTAACATTAAACAGAGGAAACCTGAGATCAAAATTATCACTGAAGTTCATAGAAATGAAAGACAAACAGGAAAATCACCGTTAATTCAGCTTCTTTAGAACCGATTCATGTCGTCGATGTCTCAACAATTACAGTATTATCGACAACAACGTCTAACTTTAACCAAACTAGTGAAAAGATTCAAAACAGTTTACGAAACTTACCGGACGAGACGGAGGAGGTGGAGGTTAAAACATCTGTGCAGCAGCAGCAGCAGCAGCAGCAGCAGCAGCAACAGCGCCTCCTCTCTGCTCCTCTGAGTCACTTTCCCGGTAAAACAGAAAAAAACGTTTTTAATTTGGCAGAGAAGAGAGCAAAGATAAAACAGGAGTGTGTGACAAGAAGTCAGTCCACAATAAAACTGAGGATAAAACACTGCGACTACACTCCTCCAGATGCAGCCGTCATGATGCATTCACGTACAGTCGGGGAGAAACTAAACGGCACGAATTCTCTGTAGCAAAACTTGTTAAATTGAAAAAGTAGCGGAAGTGAAAAATGTTTTTTTTTATTTCTGATTGTATTTAGAGACGGAAAATAAATAATCATATTAAATAGCCTACTTTTTTAAGCCTTTTCACGACACTGCTGTTGTTTTTTGTTTTTTAAATAAACGTTTTCGGTCCGTAAATTTTCACTAATGTAGATTTAGCTTCAGCTTCTCGACATTTAGAAAAAACAGAAAATAAAAAAAGCAGGAATAAAGTAAAATATGTGCAGAGTATATGTGACAACGCCGTCATTCCTAAATTCTTCTGCTGTTGGCCGAAAAGTGTGTACTGCGTTTAACTATAATGGAACAACAAAATGACGGACTCTGCCTGAGGCACCTGAACGCCACAGTGTCCACGTGACTAAAACTGTGGCAGATCAAACCAGATGCCAACACAGCAAGACGAAAAGTTGGAAAAGAAAAGAAGGGGGAAAATATTCTAACATTTTAACTTGGAATTTTCCATTTTGTTACAAATCAAAAAGTTACACAACCTTTAAAAACTTGAAATAATTTATTCTTTATTTACGCCACACACACAAACACACACACGATACACAAAGCACTGCGTCACAGTCTATAAAAGGTAAACAAATGTGTCACAGTTTTAATCCTCTGTCGTTGTGAATTATTTTCTTTGGCTACGAACGCACCACAGCTTCCAGCAGATGGAGACACTGAGTTCAGACGGTGGGTCCAGATGTTCTGCTTCTAAACATCACTCTCTCAGATCAAACACTTTCTGCACCGCGGTAAATCGTCGGTACAAATTTAATTTCCTGTCTAAACTCTTCTTATTTTTTTTCTACACTCACTGTAAACACAGATGACAGATGTTTGACAGAGGTTTGATGGAGGTTTGATGGAGGTTTGATGGAGGTTTGACGGAGGTTTGACGGAGGTTTGATGGAGGTTTGATGGAGACTCCGCTCCGTTTGGTTCTGACTGGACTCTCCATAAACAGCTGACTCACTGCTGCTGCTGACTGCTGTGTTTATGAGACTCAGACAGATGAATATATTTTCTCCCAAAGTCTGTGGTCGATAATCTCCATCCTGAACAGGCCATAAATGTCGCTGCAACGTCGGTGCCTAAAGCTACAATTATGTGGGGAACCGTGGATTTAGGCGAGTTTCCATCTCCAGTCCACGTGTGCAGTAGTTGTCGTTCCAGTTTTGTTCCAGAACATTCTTGTCTCTCTCTGTTCTCAGGACGATGCCGTTCCAGCTCTCATGATTCTGAAGAGGGAGTTGATGTTGTTGCTCTTGATGGCGTCTCGGCAGGCAGCGATCACCTGGTTTTTGGGCTTACCCACTAGAGGGCAGCAGCGTGGACAGAGAGAGACAGGGGGAAAAAAAGACAGATTTGATTTGTTTTTGTCGTTAAAGTGATGCTGTGGAAGAATTCTGGAAAATAAAACAGTCTCTGTCTGAAGTCATTGTGGTTCAGTTGGTACATGTGTTTAAAAAAGAGGGAAAATTAAAAGTTAAAAACATTTTCTGATCACTTTTTTTCACGTTTTTAATGTCGAGACAGTGTGAGTTTTTCCTCCTAAACTAATTTAATTTCTAAACTGGACTTAATTTTCCCTTTTTTTTTTTTAAACTCATGTACCAACTCAACCACAATGACCTCAGAATTCTTCTGTTCCTGCAGCTGCGCTCGTACCTCGCAGCCTCCCTGCGCGCTGTATAGCCAGGTTGACGGACTTGAGACAGGCCAGGAGAGCGTTGTGGTTGTTGGAGCGGATTTTATACTCGTTGATGAGATCTCTGTTCAGATCGTACAGCTCTCTGTATCTCTTCTTCATCGTCGTCCTGAAGGAAAGCAGATGTCGACGTCCAGAACAAACCGAGGAGAAACCACAGTCGACATGAAGGCGTAAAACTACGGCAACTCACGTGTGTCCCATCAGACGAGCGTCCTCCGCCTGCACCAGCATGTTCTTGATGTAGTTGGAGTGGTCGGCCATGGCTGCGGTCAACTTCTGGTGGACAGAGTGGAACTCATCCACCTAACAGTAACACAACAAACACTCGTTTAAATTCAACAGACAGTTTTAGAAAAACATCGAAATCTGAAGTTGAAGCTCAAGAAAACAAAAATGTTAAAGACATAAATGTTAAATCCTGATTTCATCTGTCGTGTCAGAAACCTTTTCTACAGTTGATGTTTTGTTTTTGTTTTTTTTTCTCACACCTGAAGTCCAATAACAACAGACCTCAGTGAGTGTCGTCCGCAGCTCCTCAAAGTATTCTGGGAAGTCTGCCTCTGACGACAGCTCCTCTATTCCCAGGAAGGAGGCCAGTGATTGGACCAGGTCTCCCGCCAGGTCCACGTCATCAGTCCGCAGTGTGATCTGATTGGACAAATAAGATGACACGTCAACATCCGGTGATCGTACCGTCAGGAAACTTCGTTGATGATGTGGATGGCGTTCAATGCTCTCAGCTGACAGAGAGGTGAGGCAGTAAACTGGACCCACTGTCACCTGGTGTCGGCTGAACTCATGTCTACCTGTCCACTGCTGGCCATGCTGATGGACAAGTGTCCTCCTCCTCTCAGAGACGTGAAGGTGACATCAGGACTGTCTACGCCCTTCGGCAGCAGGAAGTTCTGATTCAGCCACATCACCACCTGTTGTCGTTTGAGGTTAGTCAGGATTTAAAAGATCAAAAATATTAAACTGATCACCATCTGTTTTTTAAGTTCCATCTTTACCCGCTGTGGTCGCTCACTGATGCTGAAGGTGACTCTCCCACTCGGGGGCTCAGCGGAGTCAGAGTCGGAGCTGATGTCGTACATGGAGAAACGAGGAAGGTGGCGTGTGATTTCAAACACGTGGAACTGTGTGCTACAGAGAGACGGGAAACAGATGAGACGACTGGACCTCACGGAGGTCAAAGGTCAACACATGGTCAACACACTGGTCTCACCTGGTCCTGCCTCCAATGAAGGCTTTGATGTGCAGGTCCACTGGTATGTCTTTGGGTGGGACGATGGGGACTCGAACACACCCTGACAGGTTCTGTGCACTGGGGTGGACGACGTGACTCTCCCCCTCAAAAATCCCCTCGGCGAATATAAGCACCGCACGGATGATCGTTTCTGTTCGAGGCGTAAAGAGACGGGCGTTGGATTTAGTCGTATTTCAGTCGTACGATGTGAGCTGCTGAGCTGCTCTACCGTTTGGTGTCGAAATGCTGAGCTCCACGTGAGCCTTCTGGGCCTCCGTCGACGCTCTGACCGACAGCGCCGTCTGCAGCTGAGTGTTGGCTGGGATCACACCGACGCCACCGCTGCTCTCTGACACGCCCTGGACAGAACAGGCCTGGGTTTAGAGACGTCAGCTGTGAGTGGATAAAGAAGCGGAGGTGCAGCTGGACTGACTGAACCTTAGAGTTCTCCTCATAGTTCCTGAGCTCCAGCAGCAGGTTCTGTTTGCGATTGCTGAGTTCACGGACCAGGTCCTGTTCAGCGCTGGAGTCCATGAGGTTTCCCTTCAGCTCTTTACTCGCCGGCAGGTAACCACGGACTACAGGACACACACACACACACACACACACACACACCATAGGCTTGACCATAGTTCATACATAGACCATACGTTTTTTTCATTCGTATTTAATATATTTACCTATTTATTTAAGTGAAACAAAAAGCTACTGAATATTCACCAAATATAAATGTAGATTTATAATTGCACGTCCTCTAACATGGTGGTTCCCAAGGTAGGGGGCAGTGTTTTCCACACAACATACCTTCTCCTTCTACTGAGGCACAGATGAGTTGTTTTTGTCCGTCCAGCCTGTAGTCTCCCTCCACCACTCCTGCCACCGAGGACGAGAGGTTGTCTTTAAAGATCACCTCTCCTGTGCGATC